ATGTCACACCCACACCCAGGCCCTGTGGAGAGCTGTACATGTGTGTTAGGTACAGACACACATGTCACACCCACACCCAGGCCCTGTGGGAGAGCCATACATGTGTGTTAGGCACAGAGATACACACGCTGCCCATAGGCGGCCCCCTCCTCACCATGTTGATCTTTCCCTGGGAGTGACTCAGGGCTGACATGGAGGTGGCTGTCACTGTGCTGACGGCAAGGGCATAGTAGGTGTTGAGCACAGCATTCTTTTTATCTGTCAATTCCACCAGAGCAGAGTTGAAACTTGGCCAGAATATCCACAAGAGGAGGGTACCTGGAGGGCAGAGAAGGCCATTAGCCAGAATCTACTCCTGAAATCACTGTCCTCCAAGACGGCAGAGGACCAGCCTGAAGCTAGCACGTGAGCCTGCTCACATCCCAGTGTCGTGACTAAGCGGTCACCTCCACCCTCTGAAGTCCCAGGTTGGTGGGAAACAGACAACACATTTCCCAGACAAGGAATGTAAGGCCCAGGGCATTGAGATCTACAAACACCAGGCCTCACTCTGCCCTGCCATGACCAAATGCTTCCTTTTAAAATGCAAGGCAGAGGCTGGAGAGATGGCTCAATGGTTAGGAGCACTGGCTGCTCTTGCAGAGGACCTGGATTTTCTTTCCAGCACCTGTGCTGGCTCACAACCATGTGTAACCCCAGTTCTAGGGGATCCAAAAGGCACGCACATAGTACACATACATGCAGGTGAAACAATCATACACAAATCTAAAAAAAAATTTTTTTTCAAGACAAGATTTCTCTGTGTAGCCCTGGCTGTCCTGGAACTCACTCTGTAGACCAGGTTGGCCTCGAACTCAGAGAGCCACCTGCCTCTGCCTCCCAAGTGCTGGGATTAAAGGTGCGCACCACTGGGGGTTGGGGATTTAGCTCAGAGGTAGAGCACTTGCCTAGTAAGCGCAAGGCCCTGGGTTCGGTCCTCGGCTCCAGAAAAAAAAAAAAAAGGTGTGCACCACCACACCCAAGAGAGGTCCCTAAAAGGAAATGCTTAATCCAAATCTATATAAACTCAACAATATTATATATAAACTATATGATGTTTATAGATAATATATATGTCTTATAGTTTATATATAATATATAGCTTATGTATATAATAATGATTCATATATATAACATAACAATATAGTTTATATATAATAACATGTATTATATAGTTTATATACAATACATATAGTTATATGTACTATATTGTATTATATATAGTAACATTATGTATTATATATAAACTATATATAAAGCTATATAAACTCAACAACATTACTAGAAACCAAGGGCTTTTATGGAAGGGACCAGGATGCTCAGGGCCAAGGAGAAATCTCTCAGCAGGGTTTGTTCTCAACAACTTGAGACAGGAGACCCCCCAGCACGCTTATCCTTACCCAGCATGGCAAACAGACTGGAGCCTGTGGCCATCTGAACCTTCTCTGTCTGGACCTTCTCATCCACTCCACTGGGCAGAGACCTGGAGAGGCACCAGGCCACGAGCAGCCCAAAATAGGCCCCGAACATGTGCCCATGCATCATCACTGTGTGGTCTTCCACCTACAACAGAACACAGTACTTCGGTGAGTGTCCCAGTCCTGTGTGAAGAGGTCAGCCTTGCTGCCCCTCTGAGAAAGTCCTATGCTTCCTGCGGGAGGCATGGTTTGAACTCTGACCTGGTATTCAGAGTCTTTCCTGCCCGGCCAGCTGGCCTCCCCTTGGGCAGCTAAGTCTGGAGTGATACAGCTTGTCTTGTAACACCTTAGTACAGCTGGGTAGACTCTGGGTTCATGTTAATCGTGCCTCATGCAAAGCAAATTTAATAAGTCTTAGGCTTCATTCTTAGTGGGTTTAGAGTAACATCTGTCTTCAGGGTCTTCCAAAAACACTCAGAGTTGATCAGCTCTTCACCCACTCCCCATGCTGCCTTAGCCAAAGCCACCTTCACAGATATCCCAAATGTCTGCAATAACCTCCCAGCTGGACTTCCTGTTCCTTCCCTTGTCCCTGAAGAGTATTCTCCAAACAGCTGCAGACCCTGCCACTTCCCAGCTCAGAATCCTCAGTGGCTTCTGTCTCACTCAGAGTGAGCGTCCTTTCTATGATCTGCAGGAAGACCCTGTGAGGTCTGCTCTTTCTCCAGCCTAAACCCTCTTTCCTCCTCCCTCACACTTCCTCACACACGCAACCCCCTCTCACTTCAGGCTTCTCAACAGCTTACAATGCTGTTCCCCCGGGCAGAGGGGGATGGGCAGGGAGGAGGAAGTGGTCAGCCCTGAGGGGCAAGCAACAAGTGGTACACATCTGTCTGCTTTCTATTATCGCCAAGGGGCAAGACCTGTAAAGGGTAAGAGACACGGGGGCCTCTGGACAGATGCAACCCACCATACACCCTGCCAGAGCTGGCCACTGTTGCCAGACGCCCTCCAGGTCTGGCCTCACAATTTGCTTGGCGATGCTTCCCTCCTCCCGGTCTGTCTGGTCTCTTACCCACCCCCTCACATCTCTGCACCACCCTCCTTGGTTTTATTTTCACTATAGAATTTGTCACTACCTAACACGACTCATCTTTTGCCCATTTCTTTTTTTATTGGTAATCCTTTCTTCCTCAGCAGAAGTTTCCCTGAAGTTGTATTTCTCACGGTTACGTGAGTGCCTGGTACATAACTGGTTAAGTGCGTCTCAGATGAGTGGATGGTGCTCAAGAGCTCTCACTCATGCGTGAAGACGCAAGCCTGCACAGCCCCCGCCTGAGGACCAGATAGAGGACATGCTTTACTTCCAGCACACTGAAGCGAGAGGATGCTGGGAGTTTAGCGCCAAGCTGCGCTACAGAACGGAGACCCTGTCTCCGGTACGGTACACCTAAAACTGGAGTTCATATATAGTTCATTCCGTTGAGTGCTTGCCTAGCATGCACAAAGCCCTGGGTTCAATCCCCAGCACCACATAAACTGAGTGTGGGGCACATGTCTGTAATCCTAGCACTTAGAACGTGGAGACAGGCAGAGCAGAAGTTCAACAACAGCCTTGATTACATAGAGAGTTCAAGACCAGCCTGGGACCTGAGACCCTATCTCAGACACACACACACACACACACACACACACACACACACACACACACACCAATCAATTGGTCAAATATAAAAAAATTGAGCTAGGCATGGTGGCATACACCTTTAATCACAGCACCTGAGAAGCAGAGGCAGACTGATCTCTGTGAGTCTGAGGCCAGTCTGGTCTACAGAATGAGTTCTAGGACAGCCAGAGCTACATAGTGAAATCCTGTCTCAAAATATAAATTAATTAAATAAAATAAATAAAACATTGGGGCTGGAGAGACTGTCCAGCAGTCTTGTTCTTTCAGAGAGAGACCCTGTCTCAGAAAAAAAAAAGTAAAAAGTAAAAAACAAAAAGAGGTTGGGTAGTGGTGGCACACCTTTAATCCCAACACTCGGGAGGCAGAGCCAGGCGGATCTCTGTGAGTTCGAGGCCAGCCTGGTCTACAGAGTGGGATCCAGGACAGCCACCAAAGCTATACAGAGAAATCCTGACTTGAAAAACCAAAGAGAGAGAGAGAGAGAGAGAGGTTATCGACATCACACAATAATAAATCAGGTAGCCAGGTGGTGGGAGCTTTATTCCCAGCATCTGGGAGGCAGAGGCAAGAGGATCTCCGTGAGTTTGAGGCCAGCCTGGACTACAGGGTGAGTTCCAGGACAGCCAAGGCTGAATAGAGAAACCCTGTCTCAAGCAATTAAAAAAGGAGGAGGAGGAGGTGTGTGATTATGAGGCTCTAAATTCAATGTAGTCCATCAACAAACAGACAGACAGAGCTTGTTCTTGGAGGTCAGAGGATGACAGATCTTTGGTATTAGGTTCTCCCCTGCTTTGTTTGAGGCAGAGTCTCTCTCATTGTTTTCTCTGCCCTGTGCCCTGGGCTCACTAGCCCAGAAGTTTCCAGCTAATTCTCTCCCCACCTCCTTTCTTCCTAAAAGTGCTGGGATTATCAGTAAGTGATGCCATATCTGGCTTTTTTCTTTTCTTTTTTTTTTTTAAGATTTTTTTTTTCTTTTAGGGTGTAGCGGGCATATCTTTAAACCCAGCACTGAGGAAGCAAAGACAGGCAGATCTGTGAGTTCAAAGCCAGCCTGGTCTACATAGTGAGACCCTGTCTCAAAAAAAGAGAGAGAGAGAGAGAGAGTATTATTTTTCTTATTTATGTCTATGTGTGTGTGTGTATCTGTGTTTGTATATTAGCACTCTCAGAGGCCAGAAGAGGGTGTCAGATCCCCTGGAACTGGAGTTATAGGTGGTTGTGAGTTGCCATGTGGGTGCTGGGAATTGAACCTGGGTCCTCTGGAAGAACAGTCAGTGTTTGAGAACACTGAGCCATCTCTCCAGCCCTCCAGCATCCTACTTTTTATGTGGGTTCCAGGGATTAAACTCAGGTCATCAGGCTTGTGGTTTTTGTTGTTGTTGTTTGATTGTCTGTTTTTTGTTTTGTTTTGTTTTTAATAACAAGCATTTTTATTCACTGAGCTATCTCTCCCTGTTTTTTTTTTTTGTTGTTTGTTTGTTTTTGTTTTTGTTTTGTTTCTCATTTGCTGTGTTTTTTTTTTTTTTTTTTTTTTTTTTTTTTTTT